TAAAAACTGCTGCCACGGATATTCTAGCCTAGCTACTGAAGCTCTCTGATCATCCATTCTCACTTCACTCACTTGATCAATTTAAAGGATACACTCCTATAATTTTCGAGGACATTGATGTTTTAGCAGCATTAATTAGGCACTCCCTGCCCAACTCATCTGTGTTAATAACAAGATTTTCATTGATGTAGCGAACAGCTTCCCTGTAAAATAAAGACAAATACACTGGTAAAGAACCACCCCCACAAAGAGAGAAAAAGTTACATGATTTCAGCTCTTCTAAATGTTACCTCAAAGAACAAAGGGGTAAAATCAATTGCTCTCCAAGGACAGTAACGTGGCTGTCATTCCTTTACGTGATTACAGAAATGCAATTTTAAAAATAGAAAACCCACAAGAAAATCCAACCCAAACCAACCAAAATCCCAGAACCCCTGCCAAAAACCACCATATTCGACTTGGCACCAAAAGGTCTGTATTAATGCAGTCACAAAATGCTGAAATTCAACTGTATCAGTTTCTTACTTGCAGGCAAGTCTGTATCCACCAATAATGGAGGTAGGATGAATTTTCTGTTTCACCAGCTCATCTGCATTTTTGAGAAGTTCTGCAGCAATAATTACCTGTTTGAAATACAAACACTAAATATGTGCATTCCACATAAGCAAAATAACTACCTTGTACAACAGAACTAAAACCAGTTTCTGATATGAAGTGAGAGCTACCCAATTCCAACCTCCACCAAGGTATCTAAAGTCTCAGGCAAGTTTTCAACACACAATACCCTTGTTTGTACTTCAAGTCTTGCAGTTGTTAAAAATTAAAACCTAAATTCAGCCTCTATGACCAACCTTCAAGATAGGAAATATCAATAATGAAACAGAGGTGAGCCGATTCCCTTCCAGAGTACCACTTTTCATATGGAAACTAGCATCTATGGAAAATACCAACTATAAACACTGACTTTTGATGTATCTGCATGTAAAACTTGCTACATACCACTGAGGTGGTCCCATCACCAACTTCTTTGTCCTGCAGGTCTGCCAGCTCACAAAGGACTTTTGCAGCAGGATGTTCCACTTCTAGCAGTTTCAGAATGGTCGCACCATCATTAGTAATGGTCACGTCCTAGTTTTCAAAAATCAAATGTGCATATGAGGTATATTTCTATTACACTTTCACTGCTGTGTTTCATAATGTTCATACAAAATGAAAATTATTCTTTACCATTACCCATAAAATAACCACTGATAACAAAACGTCCCTGCTTCTTTTTAACCAGGAGTCCTCTTCTAGCAATAGAAATGTTACCAGCACAGAATCTGCACCTTCTTTTGATCAGAAAAGGCTTTATGTTACAGAAACTCATCAAAACATTTTTCAAATACTGGGTAAGTAGTCACGCAATGACTTCTCTCCAACACAGTATTTTATTACATCAGCCGAGAAAATTACAAACTTTCTTCAATTGCTTGAAATATTTTAAAATACGAAGTACTGCTTAAAATTTTATTGTGATTTTTTTTGTTATTTCTCCTGATGTGGAGACTAGGATATACAAGTCAGCACCTGTTAAACCTGACTTAAATGGTGAAAGTCACCTCTTGCAACCTGACCCATGTTTTAAGTGGTTACAAAGACTTACCTACAGAAATTAAATAACTGTCACACATATATTACCACCACAATAGATGAAACTACAACAATGTAACATACATTACACAATACTCAATTTTACTTCAGTTCTCCTACCCCTCTCAGGATAAAACAGGCACATGCACATTAGGCCTATGAAGCACACTAAATGGAAGCACTTTTACATAGGAATACAAGTCCTCCTGACACTTCTTAATGTTAAAGTAACATTACTTACCCCAATATCGTCCACCAACATCTTATCCAGACCAACTGGCCCAAGAGAACTCTTCACAATATTGGCAATAGCAGAAGCAGCTGTAACTGAATAAATGAAAGGAATAAAAAAGAAAAAAAATTTTATCTTCCCAGCTTTAGGATGATTCTCAGGTTTATAAGAAACAGTGCCAAAAAGCCACAAATCAGGAATTTGACAACAAGTGATCTAATCTAGTATTACATTTCAGCCTATCTAACCTGAAGCTTTACCTCAATTTGCTAGGCTTGCTGCTACTAAAAAAATACAACCTGCACCAAACCTCACTCTTTTTTCCTATCTGGTTTAGCTAGATAACCTGGCAAAACTGACTGACCCGAAAAAGAATGCTTTCTCTGCTGTCCGTGGAAGATGGAGGACAGGACTGAGGTCAGAACTGCAGTGGTGTTAATATTAAGAGGGGTTGGTAGCACTGCTGCTTTTGACTGCAGCAAGCAGTGCCACAAGACTTCACTCTCATTTAGTCCTCAGTTCTAGGCAGACAGAGGACATCGGCATCACCACACATTGATTAATAAAACATCTTTTGGTCCTTATCAGGCCTGTCAATAAAACAAAACATTTACTTCTGCGACTAAGACACCTAAAAGCGACTTTTGAGTCACTACTAAAACAACACAAAGCCTCTAAAACACTGGCTCGTTTAAAGGTTGTTCTGCCATTTTCATATAGGAAAAAGATACAATCAACCTTTTCCTTCAGACCATGGCAAGTTTTTCTCTATCCCACAAGCATAGCCACTTAATCTAGAAATTGAAAAAGTGGTAGTTAAATGGGAACAGTTGTAACTCAGAGACCTTGAAACAACACAATTTCTTTTGCTTAGGAGGATTAACGGCAGCTTTCTGGGCGAAATAATGTTGTGCCAAAGGTGCCATTATCACGTGGAATCTCACTCGTGAATTAAGGCAAGGCTCAATTTTAAGTAGTTGCCTGAAGTACCGTTAGAGCTACAGAAAATAAGCTCAGTTTCATTGGGAAGCATGTTTTCGCTTCTTCCTTTGTCTTTTGTCTACTCAGAATCTGAGATCGGACTCAGAATTTGCAGCCTTCTCCCAGGACTGGGGGTACAATCCTGAGCAATGAGTAAGACGTTTGAGAACCACAGTCCGAGATACGGATTTGGAGGCTGGTCCCCACTTTCCGAAGCAGGTTGTTCCCTGTGCTGGGCAGCGGGGACCTCCCCCCCCCCAGCAGAATTCCCCGCAGGCCTCGCAGGCTCAGACGCTACGCGGTCGGGACGGGGCAGAGCGAGCTCCGAGCAGCAGCAGCCGCCCTGGCCCGGTGCTCGCTGCTCGCTGCTCCCAAGGGACGGAGGGCGGGGGAGGCGGGACCGCGCCGCCACTCAGACTCCTGGAAGCGGCGCGGGATGGCGTGTGCTCCTCTTCCGCCTGCCTCCCTCCCTCCCTGCAGGCAACAGCGGCCCGGGACGGAAGGAATCTGTCGAGAGGAGCGGCAGTTCCCGGGCAGCCCGGGGCGGGTGAGCACATGGCAGAGGTGACCATGGCCGCGCCATGTTCGCTCCTCGCTGCCCCTCCCTTCTCCCCCCGCCCCCCCGGCGGGGCGCGCCGCCGTTACCGTTTTGCGTGCGGACCGTGTCGCCGCTGGTCCGCTCGCCGAACACGGCCAGGGGCCCCTCCATGGTGGACATCTCCCCGCCCGGGCGCGGCGCCACACGCACAGCGAAGGGACGGGAGCGCGCCGAGAGGCGGGATGGCCGGGGCGGCGCGAGGCACGCTGGGAACGCGCCCCGCTCCGCGCGGGGGTGGCGGGGCGGGGCACGCCCCGCAGGGGGCGGGGCTGCTTCCCGAGCCTGCCCAATCCCGGGGCGCGGCACCGCCCGACCTCGGGCCGCGATTGGCGGGCGCAGCTGAACAAAGAGGCCGCGAGACGGGGCGGGGTCAGCGGGGCTCTTCCACGGCCTTCTAGAAGGTGTCGCGGGCCAGGGTGCGCAGGCGCGTGGAGGCCCGCCGGTGGCGGGGCAAGGACTGGGAGTGGGAATGGCGCCCGCTGCTCGCCGCTGGGAAAGACCCGGCTTCCTAAAGTGGGGACCTCGGCATGCGTAGTCATAACTGTGCTTCTCAAACACGTTACCCATTGCTCGGGATTGTACCCGATTCCCGGGGGAAGGCTGCAAAGAGACCCGAGACAAATCTAGGTCTCTGAGATGGTAAAAAATGAAGAAGCTGAAGACTTTCTTCCTGGAGAAACTGCAATTCAAACTAATACTTTTGGCAAAACACTTTTAATGAGATTTACCCTAAGTCGCGAATGTGATTCCACTAGATAATGGCACCATTGCCTTGTTTGAAGGTCTCTGAGCTCTGACTGTTCCCGTTATCCAACCCCTTTTCACTAGCCAGGTTAAGTAGAGATGGTTGTAGGGTAAGGGAAAAACTTGCTACAGTCTGAGGGTAATCCTCAGGGAGTGATGGGGAGATGGAGAACCTGCAAGGCTCAGGATGAGCATGTCATGATTCGTAAGGCATGATGTAAACAGACTTCTTGTATTTTGACAAACAAATACCTTGTGTGGCCACGAGAAACCTAAAGTGCCTGGCTCCTGTGGCAGTGTCCAGAGTTCCCCTGGTAGGTGGTGCCAGGGTCTCATCAGGCCTTCATCCTCCTTTCAACAGAATTTTCTCTTAGATGGCTCATTAAAAGCATTTTCAGGACTACAGCAGTTAAATACATCTCCAGATTAATGTTCCTGCACGGTCATGCTTGCAGGAGAATGCTTTGAGAAGGTAGAGCTCTGCTGTACCTGTGTGCTGCAGGAGAGGTTGGAAAGAAGCCTAAAACAGGATGACGGTAGCTCCTTTTGTTGCTCTTATCCACTCCCCTTTTCTTTCCGCGCCTTGGACATCCGTTCCAGGAAAAGCCGACCCAGTGTCTGGAGGCCGGCATTTCCTAAAGCCCTTTTTCCATGGGGAAAAGTTAAAACATGATCCCCCGAGTCGGGGCAGTGTATTTTGCTCTGTTTTGTGAGACGCGAGTAGCACACAGGCGCCCCTCCCCGGGAGCCAGTATCCTGCGCTCGGCGCTCCCGCCTGACCGCGCCGGCGGCGGGCGGAATTCCCGCGGCCGCTTCCGCGGGAAGCGCCGCCCCCCGCGCATGGCGGCGCCCGGCTGTCCCTGAGCGGAGGGAGGGGAGCGGCGGCCGCCCGGCGCTGTGGCGGGTCCGGGTCCCCATGGCGCTGAGCAGCCGCCTGCTGCGGGCGGCCGGCGGGCTCCGAGCAGCGGGTAAGCCCAGGGCTCGCCGTGCCGCCCTTTCCCGGCGGCGGCTCCGCGGCCCCCGCGCTCCCGGGGCCATCCGGCGGCCGGCTGTCTTGGCGGTGCTGCTGTGCCACGGATGAAGGGTTTATACATTGTATTTGGTAGCACTGTCTCTGGTTTCTTGTGTACTTCGCTTTCAGTGTTTTGTAAAGCTTTGGACTTAGGGATCTCCTAGTCACGCGTAGGCTTATATTTTAATATAGAGTTTAGAAAGCCTAGTATGCTTGCAGTTCACCTCATAAATTATAGATGCAGGTTGACGTCATTCATCAGTTAAGTGCTTAAAAAATAAATGCAAGACTTCTGTAAGCTGCGTTATTCTGTACTGTATCCATTATCCGGTCTACACTACGTGTTTTTTTTCTTTTAATCTGTGGTGGTTTTTTATCTGCTCTCCCCTCAAAGGTCTTCGTTTTGCATCAACTACAGCCAGTCTCAAAACTGAGACTGAAGTGGACACAAGTGAAAATGAGGTTGTTGCCCCAAATTTCACTAACAGAAATCCTCGGAACATGGAGCAGATGGCCCTGGCTAGGAAGGAGCGTGGCTGGAAGACAACATGGCCAAAGCGTGAGTTCTGGCACAGGTGAGTCAAGAAGTTACTGCCAGAAATTAAGGCTCCAGAAGAAAAAAAACAAAACAAAACAAAAAACCCACAAACAACGAAACAAACCCCGGAAACCCACATACAAAATATGTATTTTGGGTTGCTGAATCGGTTAGCACATTAGTGTTTCTTAATCAGCAGGCATCTTCTGTGTTCAGGGAAGAGTGAACTAATAGCATGTGAAAGCATATGTGATCAAGATTTTTCCATATATTGTTAAGGCAACAGTAATGTTGCTTAAGCAACATTGGAGTGGGTGCAAGGCAATGTAGGACTGTGGTCCTGAGTAACTGATGAGAAGTTGTTCTTGGAATTTCACTCTTCTGAGCTAGCAATAGGAGTTGTGTTAGTCGACACAGGCAGTTGGAATGACCACAAAACTATGGCTGAAATGCAAATAGTACACTTAATTTCATTACCTTGCTAACTGAAGGATCCCAAAGCAACACCCAGGTGGCGACATAGGTGGGAATCCAAGCATTGTTAGGCCTAGTCTGTGCAGGTGGTGAGCCTGCTGTTGGCACCCATTTATTAGGGGTGTTTAGGTTTACCATCATGCTGTGGTCTCCCCTGTGCTTTTTATGATCTCTGACCTTTGATCTTCTTTCAAAATAGGGAGCTCAAGCATGTCCACGAGAGTGTCTCCGAGGCTCTTCAAACACCTGTGTTATCTCTACACAGAGATTCTATTTCTCAAAACAGTCAGAGGATAAACAACTGTAGGCATAATATGTGGGGTTTCCCACAATGTTATTCTCCAGGACTTGGCATTCCCAGCTGCAAGGTCACTTCTCCTCACTGTTTTTCTGCTTTTAACCTTTTCCTCCCAACATGAGTCCCATTTTGTGTCTTAATTAGCAAAACTGTAATAGAATGTAATATATTAATAACATTGAATTTTATTTCATAAAGAAACTAATTTAAGCATTTGACTCTGTTCTCTGGAAAAGACATTATAATCTTGTATCATTTCTTTCCTACATTCAGATTACGGCTTGAGCGGACACAGCATTACGTGGAAGCCTTTGTCGAGCGCTCCAACGGGGATGTTGTGGTATCTGCCTCTACCCGAGAGTGGGCCATAAAGAGACACTTGTACAGTCCCAAGGGAGTAGCTGCATGCAAAAACCTTGGCCGTGTAATGTCACAGCGCTGTTTGGAAGCAGGAATCAACTTTGTGAACTTTAAAGCCATTATCCCCTGGGAACGCCATTGTGACTCGGCAAGTACCCGTCTACTTATTCCCTTGGCCCTTCTTTCCTTTTTAGGCATCAATTTTACTTCTCTTCACCTTTAATTTTGTTATGTGGCTTGACAATCCCTCCTTGCAACACTCAGAAGGGCTTTGACAAGCTGAATTTCCTGGTATTAGGCTTCCATGAGGCTGTTAACCTCTGCCCCTCATATAACATGTTCCCACTGATATTTAAGTCCTGCTGGCTTTTTTTTAATATTTATTTGTGTCTGTCTTTTAAACAAGATTCAGGAATTTGAGAAAGCTATGGAGGAGGGTGGTGTTGTTCTGCGTGAGCCACGAAGAATCTACCGGTAAAATGGAGACAGTTGGGAAGACTTTTCCAATGAACAAGGATCACTTCTTACTGTACTGGCAGAGGGAAGGTCCAGATCTGGAAAAAGCTGGAATGTGTCATCTTATAATAAAATATTTTCCAATAGATAGAAGTGTGTCATATTCTTTATTCTAAAATGATCAACACCTTTAAGGCTAGAATAAACTTACTTAGTTCAGCCTGACAGAACTTATTAATAATTAAATGTTTTAAAAATGTATTTTATTTTTAATATTTGATTTTGTTTGTTCCAGGCTGAACTATGGAAATGCTTTGATATTTGATCCCTGTACACTGCCAGTCTAAGCTAGCAAAATGTAGTCATTACATAAATGTTTAGAACTGTGATAAAGTAATGCGCAGAATCATAGTGAAAATATTAAACTCCCTCAACTCATCTTTGCACTTTCCTTGCAATCCTGAGATTCTAACTGCTTAACCACATGGATAGGTCAAGCTGCAAAAAATTCCTGCTTTAGGGAACAAGAAGCCCCATTCTCCCCTTGTGTGTCTGCCTGCTGCTTGGCACAGGCTGGTGCTGTCAGCATCTCTGCCTGGTGGCTCGGCAGGGCTTCCGAGTACGACCAGGCTGTGAAATCCTCACAGAAAGTGTTGGAACCCTCTGATGGATAAGTTCAGGGCAGCCAGCCTGGTCAGTGCAACTCCTGTGCCTGTGTCCCGGGGCTGTGCCTGCTGCCTGGTGTGTGCGTGCTCTGGGGCAGGAGAAGGGAACGCCGAGGCTGTGTGCCGGGGCTGTGCCTGCTGCCTGGTGTGTGTGTGCTCTGGGGCAGGAGAAGGAAACGCCGAGGCTGTGTGCCGGGGCTGTGGCTGCTGCCTGGTATGTGCGTGCTCTGGGGCAGGAAAAGGGAACGCCGAGGCTGTGTGCCGGGGTCAGCAGCATGCGGGGTGAGCCCGGCCCGGTTCTGGCATCTTTATTAAATCCTCAGTATTCAACTGACATCATTAGAAAAAAAACCAAACACTTTTGCTGGATTTTTACCTAGCTGTTGGTTCATAATAATAACAACTCTCAGATGGTGACGGCCTCTGTGCGATCTATATTTTCGGCAGACGCGCAGTGGGAGCTGCCCCTGCGCTCCCTGTGAGCGGGGGCTGTGCCGGGCGTCTCCACAGCCTCTCCAATTTCCAGCCTAAACCTCCCCGTCCTTCGTTCCCACCGCTCGGGTCACGATCGAAGCTCCCGTGGCACTGCCGTTCCCATCCCTTACCGCGCTCGGGCCCGCCCCGCGGGGCAGCGCAGGCGCGCCGGGCCGGGCCGCGGAGGGCGGCGATGGATGTGGGCGCGGAGGGCTTTGCCCAGCGCCTGCCGCGCCTCAGGCGCCGCATCCAACGCGCCGCATTCGTGGGTGAGCTCGGGGGCGTCTCGCCTGGCCCCCGTGCTGCCCTCGGTCCCCAGCCGGCCGTGCAGGAGGCGGCTGGCACCTGCCCGGCGTGGGGAGCCGGGCGTGAGGGGTATTGCAGCCGATAATGGCGCTGCTGCGCCCAGAACAGCGAGCGCTGAGGCGCGGGAATTCAAATGGGGAAAGGGAACCCCGACTGCGGTGCTGGCCTCGGCGTGGCGGGCTGGGGGGGAGGGGTGTTAGGGGTTCGGGGTGGGGGCACGAACACAGCACAGCCTGAGGCAGGCCCCTCCTGAGGGGCGTGGGGGAGATGTCCCTGCCTCATCCTGCCACAGGAATGAGGCAGCTGGAGGTGTGAGCCCCACAGCTTTTGCTCTTGAGCTTTCTTGCTGTGGTTTGACGAAGGTTATGGAGAAGAGAAGTGTGTGAGAGACCCCCGTCCTGGTGGTGGTGAAGTGCATGCCTCAAATTAAGATTGTCTTGTGTTCTCTCCATTTCAACAGCCCTTGATATGGAGTTTACTGGTTTGCATTCAACTTCCCTGCAAAACAGCGAGCCCAGGTAAAGCTGTTGGACTTGAAATGTGAGGGAGACTTGTTGCTCTAGCCCTGTGAGAACAACCTGTGCATGGCAACCCTTCTTGTGTCCACTCTCCTCAATTCTGGTTTTGTTCTAGCCTGTTTGACTCCCCTGCGGAGCGGTATGTGAAGGCCAGGCAGAGTGTTCAGCGCTTCTCTCTTGTTCAGCTTGGTAAGTGCGGCTCTGACACGGAAAGTGATCTCCCGAGGTCATACAGGTAACTGGCCTTTTGCTAACAGGTGCATCCTGCAGGTGGCTCTGGCCTTAATTCACTCATTCCAGAGATGTTTGTTTGCTGGGTTTTTTCCCCACTCTGATGTTTGACACTATCAGCTTTTTAATAAATAAAGTCAGGTGGGCTATATGGTTTTTACGGGTCTAAAGTTGACCATATTTAAAGGTCACAGTTAAAAATACAAGGCTTTTGAATCAGAGGATGCAAGCAAGAAGCGTATGACGACAGCTCATGTTCAGAGCTGTGTCATTTGATACAGCGCATTATGAGTAAGGGGACTATGAGGAAAATAAAGGCTGCTATTTCTGTTATTCCTAAAATAACAAATCAGCATGAGAAGGGACCTGTGGAGGAGAGGTATTGGCAGTTAAGAACCAGTAAAGACTCAAGAAGCAAGCTTGAAAACAGTCTGAAATACTGTTGAAAGTCTTGAGGTATCTTCATGTACCTTTTAGAGAGTAACAGAACAAAAAAAAACCCTGAGAAGTAAAACCCATGTTCCAGTCATCTGTGGTGCCCAGCTTGTTCCAAACACTATTGTAGTATAGTTGGACTGACAAACTCATCTGTGTATGCACAGACTCATCACCATCTCACCTCTTGCCACGACTGTTTGTTGTTTAATTCAGATTTAACTCATTTTCCCACATCGCAGTGAAAGCTTGTCCTGTTCAGCTCTCAGGAATCCAGGGAGTGGCTGGCAGTTGCTGCTAGGATTAGCATAGTGACATTTGTGAATGGAAAACATGTATTTCTTGAGGGGTTCCCTACATCCCTCACCTAATTTGCACGCTATCAGTAGACATCCAGCTAAATGCTGCCATCTCAACAGAGATTTCTTTCTTGCAGGGCTGGCAATATTCTCAAAAGAAAATTCAAACAAGTAAGTAAAAAAGCAGTTTTCTGTTACAATGAGGGCAATACAGTAGAGATTTTATAATTCCCTTTGGTCAGAGTTATTTCTTGTAATTACTAGAGATACTTTTCTTTTCATTTTAGGTATGTGGTGCATTCATACAACTTTTTTCTCTTTCCCTCAACTCTGGGAATAAGGGATGTCGAATTTACCGTCTCTGCATCTAGTATTCAGTTCCTGTCTCATTATGGCTTTGACTATAACAAGGTATGTAATCTCTGTCAGAAGTGCAGAACAGAGGAAATCTGTGCAAATGCAGAAGAAATCAGATTAGTGTCCCTAAATGTTATGTTTCTGGGGTAAATAGCATCTTCCTAAAGTATGAATGCATCATGCAGTTTGTTATGAACAGTAATAATAGAATACTGTTTTTTCTGAACTAATGTAAAGGCAATAACCACATCCTTGGCAGCCTCAGATAGATTCTCCTCCCTCAAAAAACCCCGAAAACCTTATATCTGGTGAACTGATGATTTATTAAACAAACCCTGGTGGGTGTCTTTACTATCCATGAAGGTGCAGAAGTATCAGCTTACCAGCATCCTATGTATTGCCACATTTCCCATAAAATTCAGACTCTATCAACCCGTAAGAGTACTGTTTTGCAATTCCGGGAAGGAAGCATCTGACTTCTTGACTCTTGGAAGCATCTTATTAAAGGACAGGTAAAAGAAGAGCAAAAAAAAATTGATTACAGTTGACAAATATTCTTTTCTTTCCTCCATACCTGTTGGATTGCCTGCAGTTTATTTGTCCTAACTTGCTAATTTTCTAATGTGCTATGAGAAAATCCAGGGGAATGTATCCAACCTGGCATTTTCTGTCCCCTCAGTTCCTCAAAGATGGAATCCCATACATGAATGAGGTACAGGAGGAGATCCTTAGGCAGCACCTCTTAGCCGATACCTGGAAAGTCTGCAGGTGAGCAGTTATCCAAGAAGTATCTCCTCAGTACTGTGCTTATGGCTCAGCTTCATTCAGATCACATTTTGTAGAAATACTGAAAACTGTTGGTCTGAACACCTCCCTGCCAGCTGTTCCAGCATGCCATGGTGTCTGAAGGAAGATTGATATCACAGGATACTATGTGGAGAATTGTGTGCTTGTTGGGAAATGAAGCTTTGGCATTCCTACAGCAAGGCACAAGGCTTCACCTGTAAAGAGCATTTCTCACACTGGCTCTTTCCCCTCATCTAGCACTAATGTGGACAGGGATGTCCTGAAGAAAGCTATTGATGAAGTGACCTCTTGGATAGTTGCAGCTAAAGAAGAGGATACTATGATTCTGCAGGATCTGAATGGTATGAAACAGTGCCTCTTTTAGGTATCTGTGGGCTCTGGGTTCATAATTTCTTGTGAACCTCTGGGGCTATAATTGTCCTTTCTTTGTTAAATTGCTCTATTGAGAGGGAAAGCACCAGTGCCCATCCTGCCTTTACAACTCTTTATCCCAGTTTATACTTAGCTCCTCTCAGGAGTTCATCTCTGGGCTCTTCTGCACTGCTCTGTTGGGGTGATGGGTCTTTCTGAAGCAGAAGTGGATGTCTGGATGCTGGGAGCATGCTTTGTGGTAATTGACTTCCATTTTGTGCTTCTTCTGAACTGAAGAATTTGTAGTTACTCTGAATCAGGATAATGTTTTACATGTTTTAAATTCTGGGTGATCTAGTTTTTTTGTTTATTTTCTTCCTCTCCTTTCAGAGTTGAGTCCCTCTCATTGGAGCAACAGGAAGCCCCACAGGGACACATATATGCCACTATGGCCACTTTCTCTGTGTGTTAAGATTTGGGAGCACTTTAGCAGAGCTGAGGAACTCCTGTGCTGACTTGAACAAAAGGGAATTTTTGCAGGGAATAATTTGTAGGTTTACTCACAGAACCCAAAATTTCTAGGTCAGGGAATAAAAAAGGTTAGGAGTAGTCAAGGCTTTGTCTGTTGACTTTTTTTGCAGAGTATGCAATAGGAGGGGTGTTGTGCTGTGCTTTTTATCTGCTTTATCAGCTAGATATGATACTGATAT